CGAAGAATGGTGGGGAGGTTTATAAAGGGTGTAGAAACCGCCCCAAAAGAGGATGTGATAGTTTTTTGGAGAGGTTGAAAATGTGAAAATGATAAATAAGGTAAAGTGAAATGTGAACAGGAAAAATGGAAATGAGCGTTTTCAAGGGGAGTTTTTTTTTTAAAAAGGGAATGAAAAGAAAAATAAGGAAGTAAAATGGCTGGGGATGCAAGCGCATTCCAAAATAGGATCAAAATGGGATAAAGGGGACGAATGTACAATTAGGTTTTTGAGGGTGTTAAAAAAAGAGGAAGGACGAAAATGTAGAAAAATGTGAACAAGAAAAAATGAAAATTGCATTAAGATTCATAGGGTAAAAGGGGGAAAAGAACAAAGAAAAAAAATATTATATAATTTTATATTAAGGATATTATATTTTACAAAAGAATTTCAGCCACCCAATCTTCTCAAAAAGCAATGAGGCTCAGAAACTGTTGCAAAATCTCATGTCAGCGTACTTATTAACTGATAATAAATAACCTGGAAATAGTGGCCGAACTGGAATCTTTGTCATCGCTGTAGCTCGCAACCGATTGCATTTTGTACTGCTTGTGATGCATATTGCGATAAGGCGCTGTTTCTCTCAATAGTCCCACTGTATTTGGTCGGTAGCGCTGGTCATAAACCAAGCATCCCTGAAGACAGTTTTTTTTAGGCCACTCTGTTTTTTTTTCAGGAGATTACAAGTTTATAAGTTCTGATATAAATCTACTTTTGTGTCTTTTTTGGTTTCGCAACACGTAAGCCAAAGACTGTTTTGTGGATGTACAATATGAAACTGTATATGTGCAATGAGAAAAAACAAAAAGAAACTGACCAGCAATATTGATCTTAGTGGCGTAGTAAAAGCAATTATATTCAAAAGTGAGGAGCTTTCAAGAATGATCATTGAAGACGTCAGGATTGCGCAAAGCAGTACTGCATGGTATGGTACTCCTCGCTTTTTACTGGTGTGAGCAAGCAGGCTGAGTGGAAGTAAGCTGTCTGAACTCATCGATGATAATAGCCTTGTGGCTGGCACAAATATTGCTAGCATCGTTCCCGACAGTCCACACACAGAACCCACTGTCATCACGTACCTCAAAAGACATTGCACTACTTTAGCACAAAAAAGTTCATCATGCTCAATGTCGTAATATTAAAAATACCACAAAAAAATGCACAAAATATTTGAACTGGGAGCGAAAAAGCAAAGTTTTTGTAAACTATTTTGTCTTGCAGTGCCATTTTCTTCTACCCCTTTCTACCTGCGCCTGTCACATCTCCGTTTTGTTTGGTTTGCAGAAGTGATACTTTCAAAAGTCGATCTGCTACAATCACTGGGTGGAGAACTAGGGCAGGTAGTGTAATTGGTAGCACATGACGACTCGAAGGTTGCAAATAGAATGAAATTGAGACAATTCATTTCTCTTCCGCCCAAATCCAAATTCTTTGAAAAAAGAGGCTCTGTTCGTGACAGTGCCAATTAGCAGCATTACGTGACGCAGATCTGTCTATTGAGAATTTGCCCCAGATGTGCCAGTCCTCGAGAAAATAGTAGACGATTTTATATCACTTCATACTAACTCGAGTTAACATTGAAACCAGAGTAATTTCAGTCATTTTTCAACTGTTTGATATAAAAGCAGATCCTTCACTTTCATAAAGTCGCATCATACTACTGGAGCACACAGGCGGAAGAAAGCAACGCTCAGCGGTGACTCACTTAGCAGATGGTATCCTAAGCGTGTCGAACATGTCTGGCACAAGCATATCGGACGGATATTTTGATACATCACCCACTAACGTGAATATCATATTTGAAAAAAACATGATTATTGTGAATGCAAATACGAGCAACGGCACAATACAAGGCAACCGCTTCCGTGGACTTTTTGTCTCTTCCAACAGAAAACTGAGTGTCTCGATACCGATGTATGCGCACAAATAAATCGATGCGCCTTTTAGTACCTACAATAGAACTTATTCATCCGATACCCAGTTAGTGCCTTCAAATTAGATTAGTGGGAATCATTTTGTGAGTAATTCAATATTTCTCTTTCAGGAAGCCATAAGTAGTTGAAAGTGGATAAAATTAGATTAAACCGGAAATAGTAACACAAATATGGGCGGGATGAAAACAGATCTACTTGTATGAATTGGTGCACTTATTAGTAAATAAATATACATACGTGCACTAGGAATACTGTTTCTTTTCGGGCTGCCACTGTGATTATCCCTGTCGGTGGTGTTAATGCGATGTTTCCAAATGCAGAGTGCAACTAATGCAGGTTCATCGATATTGGGATGCATATGTGGGTTACATACAAGTTAATACCCGCCGCCTGTTCGATGTATGAGCGCTGCTTCTTCACTGGTTGCCCAAGCAGTATTAATTTACAATAAAAACAGTTGGGATAAGGGCGTCTCAGCAAATTAACTTATAACTGGTTTTGCCTGCGTATTTATGCAAAAGATGCATATGGACGAGGAGTGTGTTTATTCATGTATCCAAGAGTTTGCATTTTGTCACCTATTTTCAGTTCAGCAACCAGAGAAGTTACGAAGCTCACACGCTAACGTCCCGTTTAGGGGTACGGTAAACTTCAGGCAGCAAAAACTGCTATCTGGATTAAGAAATATCATGCAAAGAAACTGCATAAAATAGCATACACCAGAAATGCCGTTTTTGAAAAAACCGGCAGTGAGCCAATTTTTGGGATCAGCGAAGTAAAAGCCAACGAAGACAGTACTGTTGGTAGTCAAGGCACATATTGTTACCATGATCATGGATACCGTTGCCAGCACCTATAATTTGTGCACTCCAGTTACAAACCGCATGCAAACTGTTACGCA